CATGACAATTCAACCGAACTGAATAAATTAACGTTAAGGAAACGGAAACTTTCCGATGATGGTGATTGCTTGATAGTATGTGACGATGATAACGATTAGCTCTGAAAGTAACAGATGAGCTTTAAAAGAAAGAGAAATTCATTTGAAAATGAAAGAATCCGAAAGCATTTGAAGTTCCAATCGAAACGAAAAATAAAGAGATAGAAAATAACAAAGAAAGATTTTAAAGAGAATAAAAGAGAATAGAATAAAACTGTAAGACATTTGTGCAAAAATTAAATGCAAAAGTTTGAGTTATTTTTAAATATAGCGTAATTTATATGTGAAAGAGTGAAAAAAAGTTTATTTTTTCTTATTAGTGACATACGTGTTCCATATTAACAGTTAATTTAATTTTGTATATTGATAGAATATATATTCTAACGTATCATCATATTATCACTATTGTCATCTTGATTAGTAAACAAAAAAATAGATCGTTTTTTTTTTCTTATACTAAGGTGTTTTATTGATTAATATTCTCACCTCGTCACTGTAATCTTATATTAATAAGAATTTTTATGTAATAAAAAATCATAGTGATTTAATTTTATAATTAATAATACATGCGTTTTCAATAATTTAATGATTTCTAAGCTGTCTAAAAAGAATTTATATTCGCCTTTTATATTTTCTTCATTGTATAAAAATTTATATTTTTTTCATTTTATAAAAATACCAAGATTTATTTTTAAAAAATCAGAATATATCCAGTTTACAAAAAAATATCGCATGTTCAAAAAATATTATTTATCAAAAAGATTATTGGTCGGTTAAATATTATTGCTTTTGTCATCTTTTTGCTTGTCAATTTTTTGCTCCTGCACAGTGCAAATACTTATGTAACTTATAATTATACATCTTAAAGTCGATTTTGTACCTTTTATACAGCCGCAAGACCATATTGGTGGTCACGTTGCGGAAGTATTTGCATGCTACATCAAAATTTGTGATCCCCGTACGAGTACGCTGCAGTCTAGGCAAGTAGATATTATTTTTATCTAATTTCAGTTTTGTCAAGATGTAATTGATCTCCCCGAAAGTATATTCGTCCAGCTTCAGGACGAAATTGTATCTCACGTTGCAAACCGCGCAGTGAGTGTCATATTGGGCCCAGTGAACGTCATCGTGATTCGGTGGTTGCTTCAGCAACCATTCTAGAAATTCTCGGAAGCTAGGTACCACTTTCAATCTGCAGAGAGACAGGGATTTTGTACTACATTCTATATTATATGGATTAATTATAGAATATGAAAATGAGAGATACAAGCATTTGTTGTATACCTTCTGTCCGCCAAAAATATTCTTTGCAGAATATTGCCGCCCGATGCATTGAAACGAAAGAGTTCTGGCCTCGAGAGTTGAAGAATTTGGCGAGCGTAGAGCCAGGATTGTGCGCTGTACTTACTGTTGTCTTCGATGCGATCTCTATAATTTTAAATTAGTATTTATTCATCGAGATTAATTTTGATGTTATAGAATAAATTTGTATTTCTCTCTTTGATTTGTGAAAATCGTATCAATTATCGATTTAATGTCAAGGTGTCCTGCGCTCCTTAAATATCCTTGAAATATCCTGGAATTGTACTCGAATTTTATGTATTATATATATTTCTGGAAAATTCCTGGAAAACTTCTGAAGTTTCAGGACTTGCCTAGAATTTAACACTCATTTAAAAAAAAATCAAAGCGTGAAAAAAGAAAAAAAATTGTGATTGGATATAATTTAAGTTACCAATAAAAAATGAGAAACTTGAATTTAATGTCTAAAATAGAAATACTACGTAGTAGAAAAATTGTGTTGATGGAATGTTCGTTTGATGTTATATTGTTATTTGTATTTATAAAGCAATAAATAATATTATTTCAAATTTGTTGGCGTTTTAATTCATTCGTATAGAATCCTAATTTAAATGTAAAGCATATAATATTGTGCAAATCGATGAAAATTAATTAAATAATGAAAATTAATCAATAGAATAAATCCTGGAAAAATCAGAATTTTTACATGGAATATCCTGGAATTATTCTTGAATTGATTAGTCAGATTTTGCTGAACACCATGAAATTATTGTCTCAGTGTATTTTTCATAAAATTAATTACCGGTATGATGAGATGAGCCGTTGAAACGGATGTCTGACTATAAGCAATTTGAAGATTGTATTATTGTTAGCAGATTGCTGCAGGTCTTTCAAACTTTCCGGCGATAAAAAGTCCACTTCTCTACAAATGCAAATTGACATTTTGTACATTATTAATTTAGTCTCATCAAAATAAGATGAAAAAAATATGTTGAAATAAAAAACTTAACATATAATTATCTTAGAAATTAATATAATAAATTACACAAAAAATAAAGTAAATTTTTCTGAATTTATATATTAAGGAGAAATATTTTGGTTTCTACCAGGAACCCGAGACTTCTGGCATGATAGATCAGTGCGCTGTCTGGTCTATTATGCCACGCTCGCGCTCAGAATAATATATAGTAAAGATAATGAATATTAAGTGTAAGTATTTAATTATAATTAAAATACATTATATAACATGGTTCAATAATAAAAATTAAAAATAAATGTTTAGAAAGGCTATGAACCAAAAAACAATGTAAATGTATAAATAAAGGAAACAAATATAATTATCACGATCTAAAGCAAATAACAGAGATTGAGCTCGTTTCGAGCTCAATCGGGTCATCCTCAATGTTACATATAAACATAATTAAATAGAACAGATCTACTAAATTGATATACTTAAATTAAACAGCAAAAGTACACATTTACATTGTTCTTTCATAGCTTTTCTAAACACTTATTTTTAATTTTTAATTATAATTAATAGTAGTTACTTGTAAAGATCACGGCTGTCGACTTGTCGGTTGCTCATGTCGGAAAATAATTTAGTGAAACTAGTGGACGCGACCTTGCGAATCCAACAATATAACGACTTATGTTCGGCATTATATAAAAAATGCCTCTTGATAAGAGGAGTCCTCAGCTTGTACTTCGCGCAGACATTCGATATCTGTTGGAGTAGGGTCGCACTCTTCTGTTCAATTAAAATTTTTTTAAGTAAAATTATTTTTATTTATGTGTAAAATAAATTGATAATCGGAAAAATAGAATAGAATCAAATATTATTTTAAAAACTTTTTTTTATATTAAAAATTTTAATAATTTTCAGGATTCAAAAAATATTTATTTATAAATATTGAAATTCGGAATGACTGAAAATTTTTTTAAATTACACACAAATAATTAAAAATTGTATTTTGAATTCATTTACTTCTAGTACTACATTTTTCAAACTTCTTGTATCTCTTCCTCGATAGTATAGTGGTTAGTATCCCCGCCTGTCACGCGGGAGACCGGGGTTCGATTCCCCGTCGGGGAGTTTTTTTTTCATTCTATTATATATTTATTTGAAGATTTCAGGTCTCTACTTATTTTTAGTTTTATTTTTTTCTTTTACTTAAATACTTATTTGAGTTCTCAGAGAAATATACCTGTAAATCGATGGTTGCACCTTCCAATTCGTCTCTCCGCAACATGTTGATCTCCGACTCGACATTCTTAATTATCCTATCTGAAGTTGAAAAGTGGAGCGTTGGCGGCTGATGCTTGATCGTCACGCCTATCGTTTCTTTTACGTCGCAGCTTCTTCTCGTTTTAATTAACATTATGTAAACAAGGAAATACAACACCATACACAAACTATATTTGAAAAATTGCACTTTAACGGACATAATGAGTTGAATATCGCGAAGAGAGTCATAATTTACAATTTTATAATAGTCATAAACTGCGACACATTTTCATTTTATTAAAATTTATGTAAAACACTACTTGAATCCTTTCAAATTTTATAATAAAAATTTATGAAGGAGATTAGAATTAATCTTTGATGCAGTACATTGAAATTTTTCTGCACTTCTGTCTTCCGTCAGGACTAGAAATACAAGTTGGAATATATCTGCTTGAAAACATCCGTTTCGTGTAGGCGTGTGATATTTCTTATCGCTTACTGATTTCCTGATTTAGACATTCCTCTCGAATTGTTTATGAAAAAAAGGTTTACATAATAAGAAAATACGATGATGTTTATGATTTTTATGTGTTAGGTAATTAAAAACTGTTGTTTACAAACACACATTTTTCATTTGTGAGGTCAGGATGCTTATCAAGTTTCCGCTTAGTCTAATCTCCATCCTTATTCTAATCGAGCGTCCTGTTCTTCATTTTATTCTTTCGTTCTAATATAGAAAACGCGAATAGTAAAAGAATAGAATAAGAGGAAAATTATTTTGCAAGATTACAGCCGATTCATAAAATGGAGATCACAATCCTGAATTTCATTAAGTATATATAAACACATGGAATATGACTGAATTGAAAGTAATTTTACTGAAGTTAAATTGAAAAGCAAATTGATCTCAAATTAATTCAATCTGCCTATTCCAAGATAATTATTTTGCATCAACATGCGGTGTATAAATTGTGGTTCAAGAAAAAAAAATAATAAAAGGACACAAATATTTCTTTATCATTATATATTTGAATTCATTCCTTTTTTTTTTGATTGGCGAAATATTTCAATATTATTGCATTTCGTTCACGTGATTGCGAAAAATGTTGGACAGTCAGTAAATTGTAAATTTTAATACTCAATGATACAAAAACTTAATTAATCTATTATTTTATAACAGCGAGAGAATGTTTGGAATCGCGTTACAGTTACGCGGTTTCATAATTAATGACAATTGAACGTCATCGATTAAAATTGCCTTTATAGTAATGTTTATATAGTCGAATCCGCCGATTCCCAGAGTTCTTCACGAAAATCTTAAGAACTCAATTTCAATATTTCAATTAAATTTTTTTACTCAATTTATATACAAATTTGATTTATATTTCTAACACTATATATTAAATTATTTAGATTTTTAATATAAATAAAAAATATTATATTTATCTCATATATTTTTGTTATTCTTTAGAAGTATTCAAAAGAGAAATGCACATAAATGATATGTTATAGTCCAATTTCTATCAATTTCATCAATGAAATTCCATCTCCAATTCTATCATTACTAATGAAGGATTTGGGAACCGACGGATTTTCAAGGGGAACACTAAAGTCGAGATCTTTATCTGCGATCTCTATATCTGTGATGATCACGAGAAGAACGATGATTGCTGTGCCGACTGTGACGACTGGCTGTCCTCCATAGGAATTCATCGACACTCCTTTCGTAGCTACGCTTTTCTAGTGCCGATACTGTAGCGTTGTAATCTGGAGGCAATGGTAGACCATCGTAATATCTGAAAAAGAACATTTCCATTTAATCTTATATTTCTAATAGGAAATCCTCTCCTCTCTCTCTTTCTCTCTCGTTTGATTTATGCTAATAAAATTTTTACTATTTACCGTGGAGGTGGAGGAGGTGGTGGCAGATTATCGTACGGATGTGGATAAGGCGGTAATGGAGGCAATTGATGTTGCATAGTACGCATGTAATCTGCTACATAAGCTTCTGCAACCGCAGCAACACCCAATCCAGTTCCGTAACCCCTAAAAGAAAATCTAATTATTATATGTAAGTTATGTTCCAAAATTCACTACTAGCACTGAAAATCTACAGTTTACATTATGTATACTATATATTTTCAGCACTGGTGAATTTTGGAACACAGCCATAGTAAGCATCTTTTTTTCGAGGGAATTTGTATTCGTGTTTAATAAAACACTAATTTTTATAATTTTGCGGATTATGTATTATACATTACACAACAGTAAATTTAACCTCATGTCTATATTGTGTAATTTTAAATGAATGATCGATATTAAATAAATAATCGTACTTTGTGTAAGGTGAATCGCCTCGATTAAACCATGGCGTGTACCGATAAGAATGATCCCTGGAACTTCTATGATTTCCTGTAACATCCTGAGATCTGGCCAGTGATGCTAAACGTGATCTCGAGGTCAAGAATAGTTTGCGGCCTCGTCCACCTCTTCGTAAAAATCTAAAACTGCCTATAGGTCTTTTGTCGCGATAACGCGATGACTTTACAACATGTTTCCCTGCTTCCTTGGATTTTCGCAAGATAGGAGTCATTTCGATTCCTGTAAACACGAATAATATTTATACGTCACATGATTTATTAATACAAAATGATAAATACGTAAAAAATACATTTATATATAATTTATAAACACACATATAAAATAAGATTTAATAAATATTCACATTTTATTAATATTATTTATTAAGATGTAATGTTCGGGTATTAATAGATACCTTCGTCTTCTGGAAATAATCTGCACAATTCTTCAGCGACTCTGGGTTCGATTTCCTGACCGTCTCGACCGATCTTGACTTGTTTACCGTCATTCCAAGGATTGTACAAGTGTAACGTAGCAGTAAAAGGCAATTCTTTTCTGCAGATCCAGTCAACTTTGAATACACCACCTAAAGCCTTTGCTGACAAGCCAGGAGGTAAAACCTGAAATACATTCCATGACATTGTTTCCTCTGTCTATTTAATTAACAAGAATATAATCAAACAATGTTGAAATCAATATTATGTCATTATATTTTATTTGCATACCCAAGAGACTGGACCAGCATCTCGTCTTGATTCTGTACAAAGTCTCGCAAAGCCAGCAAACTTGCCTGATTCCTTCACAGAAAATACCAGCAAAACATTTCGCGATTCCCTGTAGGCTTGATTAAGATTTGCTTCATTTTGCGGCAGTGTGCTCCATACTCCTTTGGCTTTAGACAATGTCACGTTCTCAGCATTATTGGACTTGATAATAAAAAATCTGGAGAAAAAAAGAGAAATATTTACATTCCAGATTATGTTCTAAATAGTCCATCAAAAATATATGTCTGAATTAATATATTTTTAATGAATGATGTATAATTTACAAAGTGTCCCAAACTTTGTGACATACGTGACATACGTTAGTAGATTCCTGAAATAATTTCAAGACAAAAATCCTAATATCAAAATTAAGGCGCTATATAATTTTTGAAACATTAACAATAATAAAGATATTTTGAAGTATCAATTCTATTCTCTTCTATTCTTCTAAAAATCTTCATTGAAAATCTATACAATGCCCTATGCCAGAGCATGTAAATTTTGGACAGTTCAATTGACTGACTTTAAACCTTTCTCATTTAAAAATTATCCATTAAAAATTAAAGTAGGCACGACATTTTATCAAGATTTTTGTTTCGAAATGCTCTCAGGCATCCTATTAATATTGTCCATTAAAAATACATCAACTCATCGAACCTTGCATCTCTAAACAAATAATTCAACTTGGTAGTGTAGTCATAGTTCTTGGTAGTGCCTTTGCTGTCCTTGGATCTAGCCCGCTTCGGCTCGGGACTAGATGACTTGGAGTCCCTGGATCTGCCTCGTTTGCTCCTGTTCCTCCTGCTGCGTTTATTGTCACCACGCGAGGATTTGCTTGAGACTGAGCTGATGGTGGGATGAGTAGTGGAGCTGTCGGAATTGGAACTGCTAGAGGAAACTTCACTGCGGGTGTCATAAGTCTCGTCCGCGGCGATCCGTAGCTCGTCGCCGTTGTCGTTCTCGCCAGAGCTGAGATTCAGGTTGTCGCCATCCGTGTTGCTATCCATGGTCAATGTTCGGACTGTTCCCAGGTGTCACCGGTTCAGACGTCCTGCAACGTATAGACAGGAAGGCTTTATTATTATGATCACTGAACCACGCAGAGACTTGCAACTCTTGAGGAACGACGTATTGTAACGTTTCTCGTACATCTTACGACAATAATGCGGTAGCAAGGGACTATATAGTGTACAGCGAGGATAGTTCGGGGATTCCGAATCGAGCGGAAAGTCCACACTGTCCCGAATACTCTCTGTTAAAGCGGCTACGCCTAACACAAACCGACAGGGACACATGGCCAGACTCGGGCACGATTTCGAAGAGCTCGGCCGGCCGGAGAATCTGGACGGAATATAAACTACAATTTTTTTTATGAATAGTCCTTGAGATTATTATGGCAACATTTCTTTTTTTTTTGCGGTAACACAGAGCAAACTCGCACAGAGGACGCCGGTTCTATGGAGTCTCTGAAAGCACGGAGAAACTTTTTTTTTAATCCGGATCGTCTCGTCCTAGTTATTTATCCTCTATGCACACTCCTTTCGCAAGCAGAGGTTTACTTATGGACAGATCTTACAGCGTGACAACCGTTTTTATTTTATGCGTCAAACACGTCAAGAGTCCGTCGGGAGACTGTTTACTGGATCTTACTCCTCTTTTTTTCTTTCTTTTTTTTTGCGCTTTTTTTTTATTTTTAATATATCTAGAAAAGTTCGTCGCAAAGTGCAGTTTAAACCACTAAATACAGAATTCTTGTCGTTATATGCTCTCTCTCTCTCTTTCTTTCTCTTTTCCTCGAAAGTTCTCGCAATATTTTTTCGTTTCTTTTTTTTTTTGACGAGTCCTCCCGAGGGCTCGGCACACACTTACGTGACACCCTTTGTCCCTTCACTGATACACTTCACACCGAAGCACGCTCGGGAATTGTCCGACGCGATCACAGCACCGACACGCACGGTTCTCGACTTAGCAACAGCACGAATTAACGACGTTGGAACAATTACGACAACAAGGCGACGATAAACAATCGCTCGCGGACGGATCGTTCACGAGTCACAGCGTCCATTGTCGTCCATCGTTGTGACGTATACCCTCCCAATCAATAAATCCCGTTTTCTCTCACTACATCGCGCGGACACCTTGCTGCACTCTTTGCTCTCTCGTGGCGGCTTTCAGTATGTTCGATTTAGTTCGAAAATTCGAGAGAAGTTGGGAATGAATTGAAAAAAACTACCGATGTCGTGCGTGCATTTTGTAAAGATATGTGTTCATGATGTCGCTCGTCACTCATATTTGGTTGCGTTCAGATTTCTCACCGGGTGGGTGATTGTTGGGTGATTGGATGAATGGGCGGAGTGAAAAGTACCGAAGTGGTTTGGGAATCTGAACGCACTCATCATCACTCATCACCACACTACCGGTAATGGTGATAATAGGATTTGTACGTATTAAAATTATTACTTATTTATTAATCTAGTCTATATTAATTGATATAGATCAGGTCGTACTTGGTAAGATATTTATATTTTATTGTTTATTGTTATTTTATATATGTAATTTATTTTTTAATTTGTCATATTAATGTAAATAAGTTGAGAAAATTTTGTTATTTTTTTAGGTTATCTTGTATGAGTTTATTATATTGGGTAGATGTATTGACTATTAACACCATCTAGTGACAAAAAACCGCGGATACTTTTTAGATGACCCAATACATTAAGTACAAAAATTGAGATACGAAATTTGAATAAATGATAAACTATAATATAAAAAATAAAATATTCGAATTTCTCGTATACTATAACAAACACATTTTAGATAACTTAAAAGGTAACTTATAAAGTAATTTTTAAAGTAACTTTTAAAGTAATTTTCCTTTATTTACGTTTCTATATTTCTTCTAGCTGATGCGTATTGGATACTCCAATCTTCTGATACATTCGATAAAATATAAGCATTTAGCGGTATTAGAATATATTTCATTCAGAATGTTTTAAAAACATGTCACTATCAGGTTCGAAGATTGTTTTAGATGCTAAAAGGCATGAACTGGTTAGATCAGACATAATCTGTTATAATTGATGGACAATTGTTTATTCACAATAAAGTCTGTAAGTGTTCAACCATTAGGAGACCTAAACTATGAATTATGCAAGATTACTTCGCCGGCGAGTTTTCAAGTAGAGGACGTGTTGACAAGACGCGATATTGATCCAAATAGTAAAGCATATCTCAGCAAAATCACACAAATTTGTAATTTCTTGTAATGTTGACAACGTGCTTTAGTTTTCTTTAACGATAAAATATAACGATTAAATATACCGCGGATACTTTTTAGATGACCCAATATATATATATGTACCGTCACACAATAAACTTGGGCCTCTGTCAACATAATCATGTGTCTGGATCCTAAAGTTATTCTCGATTGAAAATGTCAGTTTACGAGCCAAATTCTTGTCATTTGTGGGAGATTTTAATTTTCTGCTTCAATATGAAGAAATCTGCGGCTGAGGCTCCTCGAATGCTTTCCAATATTTATGGGGAAGCCGCATT